ACCGTCAAGCATCACTGTTCTTGGCCCATTAAGACCAGCAGCTTTCTCAAAGGAGCTTATCCTTCTCAAACCAGTAACTTCAGGTAGTCCTGGTGGTTGCATGAAGTTCCCTGCATGTGTACTGGCACAGAAGAAGCGACGAAAGCGACATGCCGAGAGAATGGAACAGTACCACAAGGTTATCATTCGACTGTATTGGAAAGATTTCATTTTGCACTCTAAGTAGCCCCGTGAAGAGGGCTCAGAGGCCAAACTAGCCAAATGAAGCGAAATTGACATTGCCGCCTTATTTCAGGAAGTTGCAGCTCACAAGCAGGCACTAAAAGATCACGAAGAGCAGCACATTCGCCAAAAGCGCCAGTTCTTCGCCCGAGACGACGCCGCGGTAAGCTCCGAAGTCTATTTGAAGTCGCATTTCACGTCGATCATATGTGATCGTAGAACTGGGAGGTGGGATGTGCAGATGCCTATAATGAACGGATCAGCGGCAGTGTCTGCGGAAATGGCTTGTGGGAAGCTGAACAGCCGGGCCTAAGTCAGGCTTACAATTGCCCCTTCATCCTTAGGGCGCCTCTTCTTCCTAAGTTTTACAGTCGTATCGTCGCAATCCGGCTGGGCGGTATCAGGAGGCCTGGTACGAAGCCACCCGCGGCGTTTTGTAACACTGTTGGTCTTATACCTGCTGATCCGGCCCGTGTTGGTAGGAAATGCTGAAGTGAATGGACCCATTTCATGCCTCCTGACACCGCCCCACTGAATCGCGACGATATCAGCTATACATAGAGGGGACAAGCGCCGCCCTCGAGAAGGCTTAATGTCTGACTGTCCTCTCTCACAGATTGGTATGTGCGTTGAATGCGTATAAGGAGAAAATTTAGGGTTGTGTTCCTTGTCCCGCGTGGGTTACTTTGGCACTGGCGAGTCGTAAGAAGAGATCCACAAATTCGTCTGAAGAATCCGAAGTGGAGGTAAGAAAAACGCTACACTTTCAGCACCCCTGAGTCTACCTTTATCCAGTATTTCAGCACGCACCCAGAATGACACTTTCGGAAGCGATTGCTGACATCAGGCGCAAGGCTGGTTATAAACTGGGCTTCGATGTGAGCTATTTCTTGTCATAATTACGTTCTTATGTTTCACCTTGTCTTTTTCCTTTTCAGTGCTTTCTTTTTAGTTTTCTTCCGTTAATATCATTCCCAATGGAATAACGAATTTAACAAGTTCCACTCATGCGTTGTTTTTGATCATACTTCTAAGGTTACCTTCTATTTTTCAAGGATAACGACAAATCTCCACGTCGTAAGCAGGGTCAGTGTGATCAAACGGATGACTGCTTGAATGAGGTCGAATACGCCATTTTCAAGAAAGTCTACCACAACACTAGGGTCAAAAGAGAGGTTAGTTACTGTTTTCGCTCTTGTTTCTGATAAACAAGAGATTCATAAGAACACAGATGCTACGTCAAGGTTGACAGGTTCTTTGGCAGGTGGTAGGCTCCTTCCTTCATGGGGAAAAAAATGATAGTTCTCGGAGGTGAAAGCTCGACAGGCGGATTTGTGACGCCGTGCCTGGTTTTCGTAAGCAGGACACGTCTTGGCGCTGGGTAAGAATTTTTTCTCAAGTAACCTACGTGTTCCACGTGAAGCCGCGACGTCCTGCCCCCCTCCATCGCCTTTCACTATTGATCGGAGCATCTCATCAAACTCTACCGGACTCAATCCGGCCATCGAGCGTAGTATAAGGGTAGACATCTCCGATCGGCCGGCAATTCAGAAATAGGTTTTTTGGTTTTTTTGCACCGCGGCCCAGGTACATAGGTGATCGCGCATAAACGAAAAAGTTCAACAGTCATGAAAAAATATTCCCAATTACAGCCCCACCCTTCGCAGCAGCCAAACAAAACCGGCTGCTGGGGAGCCCAACGTACGACGTGTCCTGTTCCGAGCCGTCTATTCCTAAAAGATATTTGTGCCGACCGTTTGTGTAGAAAAATACCTAAACAGGGACCGAAACTATAATGAGCACGTGCGTATACCAAAAAGATCACTCTGGGGATCAGGCATCCAACCACCTCTTTCTTCCTCACTGCGTGATGCACGGATGCTTCGCTTCAACAAGAAAGAGGTCAATGGTAGCTGCTCTCCGCCCTATGTGCATATCATGTGAAACTGCTTTTTGAGATACTATTTATACTCGAAATCCCTGAGATGGGATAAGGCGGCGGCCAGCCGTTTTTGATTTTAAAATGGCAGCGGCGATTCCAGGTTCTGGTCGTGAATTCTTCATTTTGGGAGAACTCGGTAGTTGTACCCTACATATAACACATAACAAGATAGATAGTTTGTTTCAAAATGAAGTATCCCACGAGAAACCCGTCCTATGCCATGCTCAAAAGCCACGCCTACTCCGTCTCAGGGATAAGGAGTGTAACTCATTGCTATCTTCCTCGGAATAATCTTGTAAATTCTTCATACTTCATGTTTAGACGTGGAAACGCAGAAAATGTGAGCACTGTGGCAGCGGATTTGATGGCAAAAGAGTGAAAAGGGACTTTGGATCACCTCTTATCGTCGAAGGAAAACGAGTAAAAAGGAACTTCGGAACGCCTACTATAAGCGCTTCAGACGTACGTTCAGATCTGTTGGTTTCACATTTCGAACAACTTCTGTCTGGTCCGTATTCATATAAGAAAAAGGTATCCATTGGGTACGCGTACAAAAGAAAAGAACCGGGTAGTGTTAGTTCTGCCGATCGTCGTTCGTCAGGAGGATTCGTGAAATTCACCGATCTCAGGGTCTGCAGCTTTACTCCCAGTCGCGGCAGGGCCGCCGAATGTTCCCTAACTAGTTGAATGGACAGACGCACGCACAGAAACATCTGATCGACCTGGACGCAGAGAGAGTCGCCGCGCCGCAACGCTGCCACGTTGTGTAGATTGGGTCCTGTTGAGAAGCAACGCGTAGGTCCTTCCATTCGCAACGTCTATTTTGCCGCACTCACCGCGACTACTGGTAGGAAATCCATTGGTGTCAAGCCATGCGAATCGTTGCGGTACAAATGGAACTGAACATATTCGAAGAAGACACTGAACATATTCGAAGAAGACAAAGTGCCCACTGATCGTTCGGGTGTAATCAGGATCAATAGAGAAATCTTCCTCACTGATTCGCATTATCTTTCTGAGGGTTAAGACGAGAAACGAGAAGATGAGGTGGACACATGCATGCCAACTCTGCGCACACAACCAACGTGGGGCTGTAGAAGGGCTCTCACTGTTGCAAAGAAGGATGAAGTTTATCTGTATCCAAGGCTGCGTTCAGACTTCGCAGCGGCCAAAACAGAATTTTTGAAACG